TCCATGTCAGCGACAAAGATGTTGAACAAGACCAGTCCCAACACCAATCCCTGAGGGACACCACTTGTTACTGGTCTCCAGCTGGACATTGAGCCATTGACCACAACTCTTTGCATGCGGCCATCCAGCCAGTTCTTTATCCACCGAGTGGTCAATCCATCAAATTGATGTCTCTCCAACTTAGAGACAAGGATGTCATGTGAGACAGTGTCAAACGCTTTGCACAAGTCCAGGTAGATGACATCAACTGCTCTACCCCTGTCCATCAGTTCTGTAGCTCCATCATAGAAGACCACCAAATTGGTCAGGCAGGATTTCCCCTTAGTGAAGCCATGCTGGCTGTCACCAAGTACCTTGTTGATTTTCATGTGCCTTAGCATGCCTTGACCCAGAAACATTTGATAGGGCTTCCACAGTCACCATACTTGACTTCTGTACATTCAAGGTTTTCATTAGCATAGAGCACAATTCCTCCTTTTTGTCTTTCCTGCCTGGTCTTATGAAACAACCTATAGCTATCTATCACAATCTTCCAGTCATGTGAGTTGCCCTATCATGTTTCAGTTATTTTTATGATATCATAACTTTCTGACTGGGCATAGAGCTCCTGTTTGTAGCCCAGGCTGTGTGCTTTGGTATACATAAACTTGAGGTGGTTGGTCTTCTGGTTCTCATCTTAAGAGGCAGATAAGTAACGTTTGTCCCTGCTCTGGTTGGCATACTTATTCCTCAGTTGGTTGCAATGGCATGAGCATTGCTGCTTTGGACCCCCCAGCCCCTGAGTCCTTCAGTTTAAAGCCTGACTCACCAAGTTGGCCAGCCTGCTGACAAACATGGGTCCCATCCCTCCCTATATATATAGCCTTTTGAAGGCTATAGTCATCAAAGAATGTCCCGTTGTTGTAAGTATCAGTTTTCATAGTCATGCTTGCCAAAGTTTTGTACCAATAGATAAGCTTGTCAGGACATTTTATAGCAGTGTCACTGTGTTATTGCCATCAATTATGTGTGGTGTCACCCTAGCTGTTTTATCAGCTATTTAATGGCACATGACTCATTGTTTTCAGTCATGTGGGAGGAAAAATGAAACAGCAGATACACAGCGCGTGCCTTATGTGCGTGCTACCTCGTGAGCTGTAGGAATGGACAAAAATATAAGGAAGAACTAAGAACTTCCTGGAATCTGGAAAGAGAAATGGCAATATCACTTGGGAATCTGTCAGTGAGGATGATCTTGAGAAAAGCCTGTGTGCAGTTTGTAGTGAATTCTGGTGAGATGCCTCATGGGATTATTCAAAGGAAAAGCAGCTTCTCTGATGATGCAGGTCTCTTAACTGGAAAGAGAAGTCAGATTAAGTGCCTCGTTGTATCTAAATCTTTTAAATACATTAATTTCCTAGCAACACACTAGCTGCGTGCACATTTTAGATTGAAATATCACCCCTCTATTGACATATTAGGGCAAATAAAATTATCTTTAAAAATAGGAGTCTTTATATCTTGCATTTTTGTTTGTTCAATGGGCAAAACTTTTATTATAGTGTTTTAAAATCTCTTGCCCAAAGCTATTATATTCTTTAATAACCTCTGTGTTTTATTTTTTTTCCTTCCTGCTCTTTCCTTGAATAGGTCCTTTATCTTGTTTCAAAGACTGAAAGCACACACATGGTTCTCCATAACAGTACGGGGAGTTTGCAGCTGCAGGAGGCTGGACAGTTGCAGTAAATTTCCAGGTGTGTCAAAGGTCTGTTGCATAATTTTGACCAAGCCAAGGTTTTGACTTGCTGGTTACTGAATGACCTCCTTTTTTCCTGCACTGCTTGAATACCTTTGATCAGAAGCTGCCTAAACACATTTTAGGTGGCCAAGCATGGATGTGTTGCAAACACCATTCTGGTTTAGACCAGTATGATGCCATAAACAGATATGCATGATATAAGAGCACAGCAGATATATATGACGCTTCTCTCTGATGAGGAGCTGCTCAGGGAACTGGGGTTGTTTAGCCTGAAGGATGCTCAGGGGAGACCTTATCTACAACTGCCTGACAGGATGCTCAGGGGAGACCGTATCTACAACTGCCTGAAAGGAGGTTGTAGCAAGAGGGGTCAGTCTCTTCTCCCAGGTTGCGTCACGGAAGATTTAGATTGCATATTAGGAAAAATTTATTCATCAAACGGATTTTCAAGCACTGGAAGGGGCTTCCCAGGAAGTGGTTGAGTCATCATCCCTGGAAGTATTTAAGAGACATGCAGATGTGGTGCTTAGGGGCACGGTTTAGTGGTGGACTTGGCAGCTCTGGGGTAACAGGTGGGCTCCATGATCTTCAGGGTCTTTTCCAACCTAAACAATTCTATGATCCTACGAATTAACAACTTTATTTTGAACAGGGTTCTTTACCTGCTGCACTGTACTCCTCAGAGCTTTGAAATGCCTATTTGCACACTGCATACTGGGTTTGCAGGTATGGACGAGTGCGTATTGGTCCATGGTCCCATTTTATTCCTTGCACTAGGACCTGTTCCGATGACCATGTTAAGCCCACAGGTGAGACTGGGAAGATCTCTTGGTTTATGTTATTTGCAAAGTGCTATTAAGAGTGCTGTACTAAATATTAAAAAATACCATTGATGTTTGCATTAAAATCTAGGTATTTAGCAAAAGAATTTGGACTATGATTTCATGGCTTGAAAAGTCTAACATCAGAATTCTTTATTGACATTATTTTTATTGAAGCATGGATCTTTAGCTTGGTTCACCATAAAGTGAAGCATTTTATTTATGCTAATAGACAGTTTAGGGCTATAGGGGCATTATAACGTTGCTGGTGTAGATACAACTTTATCAGAAGATACAAACATGACCCGCAATAGAAACAAACACCAAAGAGAACACGATGAAACGTTCACTGTTTACAAATCACTTCATTACTACAGACACCAAATGGCAGTTACTGTAAGTAAATCAGTTGCAGAGAACTGACTACATTTATATAGGAAATTGGGAACTTCTGTTTGGGGCTTCCTCCACAGCTCCTTAGTAGAAAAAAGTTTAATGTCAAGCATTCTTTTTTTATACACAAAACAATGCTAACCCACAGACATATTAAAGAATAAGACTGAAGGATATCAGTGCCTTTACAACTACTTTTGCAATCATCTTCTGGATTAGGTACTTCGAATTTTTCTTCTTAATACATTTTGTTGTAAGGTAAATAGCCCAAAAATCAGCAGCAAAAGTATTACAACAGCAAAACAAGTAAATACAGTGCCAATGTGTCATGTTGTAGAAGATAATACAGAGAGGACAAACAATGATAACTTAATCATATAAAATGACACAGAGCTGAAGTACAGTGCACTTAAATACCTATGTGACCAAGAATGTTAAATTCTGTACTTAGTATGTAGGGTTTTTTAAACATAAAATCTGAAAAGTCTTTGTGCTTAAACGTTTTTTTTTCCTGTTAAACAGAATTAGTTGCTTACTTCCAATACTGCCACTGTAACTGATATTACAACAGATCACAATTTTCACAGACACATCAACATTAAAACATTTACCTATGAGAAAATAAGTCACTTCTCATTAGTTCACAGTGCGAAAAAGTGGTGTGCACTCTGTCTTGAGAAAGGCTTTCAGTTACTCATCCAGCCAGTTGCAGAAAAGTCCTGATACCAGACGCAGTGCTAGATTTAAAGAATGAAAAGCAACACATCACATGTTGGGAGGAAAAAAAATAAATTTCTCGTTTCTTCATGGATATCGTCTAAGTGACCTTCGTCTTCTGTTGTAGAAATGCCTGAGCCCATGTTGCCGTGAAAAATTCATCATGTAATTTTGTTTGCGAGTGCTGTTAAAATCAAAGGGCAGGGGAAGAGAAGACTGTCAGTGTCTTTGATACTCACTTTAAATTCTTTTGGAGCAGTTAGCTAGTGGGGCAGATTCTTCTTTGTCCTTGCCTGACCTTTCAGGCCTGTGTACAGTAGCATGAAAAGCACCATTTATACAACAGTGAGGTAGAAGGCAATTGAGAATCTGTCCCACTTTGCTTTTATTTACAATTCATAGTTTTAGGGAAAGTTTAAGAGGTTTCAGCTAATGAATATTTGTGCTGCCCAGGGCCAGATTCACTAAAGCTGTATGCACTTCATTCAATACATGGCATTTCTCTACAATGGTTTTATATTCCAGTTATTCTTCTGTCTTCTGCCATTAACTGCTTTATCTTGAGAACAGAAGAAAAGCTTTACTCCATTATCTTCCACTTTTACCATATAGGAAGTGAAGTACAACACTTTTATGCAGATTTAATGATTCCCTCCTTTATACAACCCCACCCAAAATTAAAGGAAGATCTCAGAAATAAGCATCATCATGTCTGGAAGGAGACCAGGCAAGAGAACCTGACTGCAGTCTAGCTGAAGAAGGAATATTCATTCAGAAGACCTACCTAAAGGACTCTCCTAGGTGGCTTAAACCACGACAAGTACAAGACCCATCACACCTAACATAGGTTTCTACTTCTCCCATTGAGGGAAGAAAGAATTGTGAGGGCAGTGGCAGACTACATGGCTGTCTGGGACTTTGGTACCTGAAATCCACCTAACTGGCTTCAGTTTCCAAATTTCCACAGCTTTGGAAAGGGAGTTACAGCGTCTGTGGTGCATTCTTGTGAGTCAACTTATAGCCTAGATAGACTTGCATACACCTTGGAGAGAACTGCATGTGCAGCACCACACATCCCACTGTGCAGATCCTCTACATCCCCCTGCCTCTGTTGTGGCAGGGGACTGCAGAACAGCCACAAAGCTTCATCTGGCTATGCCTTTTCTTGATTTGTCTATCTACCTACCCAGAACCCTAGTACATGCACACAAATACAGGCCTACAGAAATCTACAGCCAGACTGCATTCAGAATTACATGAGAATGAAAAAGTTTGTGTATGCTGAATTTCTGATAAAGGATGTCTCCTCTCAGACCTGCAACTTGCAGAGCACTTGGCCAGATGTGTTAAGCAGCTGAGATGTTGCTATGAGAGGCAGTGACTTGTGAACTACGCACTGTAGAGTCCCAGGGCACAAGAAAGACTTTTTGACTATGGAAATGCCTTTAAAAATAAAAATAGTATCACATACTGCTGCTAGAGCCACCTAACCCCCTTTCTCTGCACAGAAAACCAGCATATGAGATACTCCCATAGATACAGTCAGAGGATGCAGCTTCTTTAAGAGATCAGAGCAGAGACCATGCGGACCCCAAGGACAATTCCATAGGGTGTAAGGAGCTTCTCCCAGGAGGAACTGCTGGTGACCATGGCCAAACTTTCTTTTGGTTTCCCGTGAAAAGGAGCTGAAAAACTGTAATGAATCTGTGCAGTCTTAGATTAATTCCTGCTTTGTCATAATCCTCCCTACCTACCTAGGACCTTGTGCTTTCTATGTCTGTCTTGCAGTGGGAGAAGAATGGCTGGCCTAAGCCTCTGTCCTCCAAAGGACTGGATGGTATCAGAACCCTCCAAAGCAAAAAGTCCATAAGATTTTAAAGGTGATTGGTGAAGTAAAGGCCTGGAGTAGACACTGCACTGAACAAATCTCCCATTGAAACCAGGGCAGGTTTTCACTTGTGAGTTTTCTCTGTGGGTAAGAAGTTAAGTACTCATACCAGTCATACTTTCCTCTCTAGTGCATAAGCCTACTTTTAGTGAATATGGCCCTTAGGAAAAAAGGATAATTGCATGCGTTGCAAAATACATATGATCCTGCAAAGCTGTCTTTCGCTGCAGTATACTAATTTACTCTAAAAAAATCTGTATAACAAAATTATACCCTTTTCAACAGCTAATCTAGAACACAATTGACTAAACTGTATAAAAGCAGCTGTGTCAAAATCTAAAGTATAAGCCCCTAAGGAAATCCAGGTTGCTTCCTGACTGATTTTCCAAGGCTTGCAAATTTTTGATAATTTGGGGTTTTTTTGGCCACTGGAATGTACATACAAGAATGAAACAAAGACCAGCTCCTGGTGACAGCAAAAGCAAGCAGATCTACACTGAGCATGACTTTTGGCACTCCCACAGGAAAGCACAGCTCTAGAGCATTTGGCAATTGAGAGAGGAGTTAATGTTTTAGGCTGACTTGTCTTGAGTTTCACCTGACTTCTTCAAGTGAAAAGGATTTGTGAGAGTTTTGTGTGAGACAGCTTTATGTAGTTTTAATGCCACCTGGTAGCTCAGGTGCAAAGAAGCACTGAAAACCAGTCTTTATTCTGATCTTGCAGTCACCTCAGAGGAACATCACACTCAATCCAGTGCTGAGTGCCTCACTGAGGAAGGCAGGAGGGAAATCATGACCCTGAACCCGCTTTTGAATGTGGCTGCCATTGGTCATGAGGTTTGAAGGAGGTCTTAATCTTGCCTTCCCTTTAATTCCCATTGCCTGGTATGTGGGTGGTTCCTTAGACACAGGGCCTTCAAGGTGACATCCCACCTCTCAGGAGAGCAGCCTAACCACGAAGTGAGGATGAAGCACCTATCTGCAGGGAGAAGGCTGCTCTGCAGTTGAAATACAGGAGACAGGGACATGGGAGAAAGCACAGCCCCAAACTGAGTGGCTTTGCTGTAGGTAAATGGGACCAATCAGAGCCTGTCAATGTGTTTGGATGAAAAAAATGCTGTTTCTGGACCTAGTTAAATTTAGGACTGAGCTTGACTGCGAAAGCCTCAGGTTAGGCAAGGCTTGGGCAGCTAGGGCACATGCTGAGCTACAGTTCATGGCCCAGGGGCCTTCACATTCCTGCATTTTCCTCCTGCCTTTGGTCTGCTCACATTCAGCAACATGTCAGCAGAGGTTTTCAGGGCTTCTTTTGGACACTGCTAGGTGCATCTTGCCTCCATTTCACTTCAAACACCTAACCATTTTGTATCTGGCCTTAAAGTTATGATGAAGATGTTTAAAATAATGAACAAAGGGGGAAAAAAAAACAAACAAAAAACAAAACCAAAAAGGAAAAGAAAGAATTGAATAAAGGAACAAAGAAAGGGTTACCTAATGACTTAAAAGAGATTTATTTATTATTTATATATATCATTCTGCTTTGTTATTTTATATGATCAACAAGTTACAAAGAAACATATAGTCTCACACTGACCACAAGAGCAGTGCAGTGTATGAAAAATAAGAGAAATCTGAATTCTCAAGAACTTATTCTTTTAACTTCCATTGACATGGTTAAATTTGTCCCCACCAACGTCTGACATAGACTTTCCAACTACTGGAATGCCACATAAAAACTTCATGCTTGCTATAGAAAATGGTATGATTTTCACTCTTGCTATAGGTAAGTATGTATAACCCATATATTATAGTATCATACTGTATAGTATGTATAGTCTGGTATTCACAAAATCACAGAAAGTATATATTTATGTTTCTGAATTATTTTTATATATTGATAGGAGACAAGCACTGTATAAGACAGACAGTGCTTTATAAAATCATGCTAAAAATATATATACTATAGTTTGTAGGAGTACTTACGCATGGCTGCATTTGGTGGATTTAAGAATGCTTTCAATACTATTAATAACAAATTTAATTTGTATTTTCACAGACTGATAAAAGGCTTTACCATGCTTTTGCTATTGTTTTCTTTTTTTGATTTTGTTTACATAGAACATGGCCAAATGGAATGAAAAATAAGTGGTAAAAAAAAAACAGTATAAAAGTGTTTTTATTTTTAATTGACAGGGCACAATAGGAACCAAATAGAAACAAAAATATTTGTATAACAAGATGAAACATGAACAAGGCCTTAGAAAACAGCAAAAGTTGCCTTTTGGGACTAGTCTTGGGGTAAGTAAGTTTTGAGGCTGAATGACAAATGCTTGCTTTGTCAGGGGGATACTATAATGAGAAACGTCATGTGCTCTCACTGAAGTCCTGATGGCTCATATCAATGAGAAATGTTCTTTGGCTCTGGTGAGGTCAAGAGTTAAATCCAGAGCTCAGTAACTGTGTTGATTAGTGGTACCTATTAACTGCAACAATACAAAGCAGCAGAGTTATAAGAAAGATTAAAACAAAAACTACCAGGAAGACACTGTGTGTCTCATGAGCTATGCCACCATGCAGGTTCACTCACATACACTACCTGGCTCTGGCTTCAGCTCTGTGATCATTAAAAGAGTGGGAATTCCCTGTTGGAACTAAGAGGTCACCCATGCAATGCACTAGGTGCCTTCCATTGGGTCTTGATAAACTGCAGGAGAAGGAGAAATCCTTCTCACTGCAACCTCAGTGAAATTCCCACTATGGTATGGGGTAATCTGCTGAACACCTTCTGCTGAGTTTAACTTCAGTGCTCCCTTGGGAAGAGCTGCAGGATTAGGGCCCTCAAGAGCTACATGGCACATCTCAGAGAGTACAAATGATTTTTCCACTAACCAATTATTGACAAAACTTTGTGGAAGAGCTGTAGCTGTAACAGAAACATACATTTTCTATTGATTCAGGGAAATTACTTACCTTATTCTAGTGTAAAACCAATGACAGCAAACAATGAAATACAACACAAGTTAGAATATGCCTTTCAATGCATGCAGCACTGTGATTAGTCATAAAACCCTGATGAGGTTTAGAGGCAATATACGACTTTTCATCTCTTTTGAAAATAAAAATTGAACAAATTATTTCCTGATATTTCAAATCAATGTTATATATGTATTTTTTATAAAATTCAGCATGCACTTTTTAGACATAATAAAAACATCATAAAAGCACAGACAGCATCATATTAAATTTGGCATAAATGTTGTAAATATTCAGATCATTACCTAATTTTTGTACTGTTTCTGTTGTTTATCATCACTGTGTTGATACTTCAATTTAAATGCATTTTTCAAATCATTGCTTTTTACTGAAACAAGCAGATGAAAATGCTTTTCTACATGAGCACTTGTTAGAACTAGAATGTATAATTTGTATTTTAATGTTGCAAAATAAGGATAACATTCTTTGCACCAACTGCAATAATTTCTCACTAAATCATTTGTGCCAAAAAAGTGGTAATATCTTGACAATGAAGAGCATGGAGTGATGGCTATGGAAGGATTTGTTCTGTTATGCAACAGTTAACCATAAAGTAGGTGGGGAGAATATTTCTTGCATTCCTTGCAGAACTCAAATTCCTTTGGATCACAGAATGAGTTTTGGCGTGCAAAGAAAGCAGCACCAGACCCTTAGTATTCAGCTTATCATTACTCCTTAGTTCTCAATACCTTTGACCAGAATTAAGTTTATGAGAGGTTTGTAAGAGCCTGCCCCATACATGAAGAAATAGCAGCTCCAAATGCACATGCAAAAAAGTGTGTGGTGTCTGTGCAGCAGACAGGCTGAGAGCTGTGCTTCCAGAGAAAAACAATGTGCAAATGAAATGCAGAGTTGGACATGGCTTTTCTTAGGGCAGAAGTGCAGGAGCACAGGAAACCACTGTTAGGTCTGGGATGAAATACTTTTTTTATCCTAAGAAGAGCCACATGGAAATTGTGAGAGTTGTGCCCAAAGCTTTCTTTATGAACAGAGAGAAAAAATGCTGCACTATTGAGGAATAATAGGCACTAGCTTTAAAAAGGACTGGAGAACTTGACAGCTAGTATCCTCTCCCCACCACAGGACCAACATCAGCCATTGTTAAAATAAGTTGGCAAGTAGTTAAATTGGCAAGATCAGTTTAATGTATAACATAATAAAGCAGGTATTGTGTTTCACCTGTTCAAAAGAGGTGCTCAATTTGAGCACCATTTGCAGCTGCATCAGTCTTAATGATACTGCTTTTTAATGAGTCATTCAAATAATTCATTCAAAAGAGAAATGATTTTAAGTCATATACAAGACCATCCTTCTTTGGCCTTTCTTATCACTGCCAGGTATTTTGCATGCACATATAATTGGCATCTTATTTTTTCCTCCAACAAACTAGATTGGGAGTGAAAGGAAACAAAGAAATTGCACTCTGAAAATGTATTTGCTGGTGAGAGGATGGTGGTCCTTGACTCAGAAATCAACTGGACTGAGCAGAGTGGCATGACCCTGGCTGTGCATCAGCTGTTAAGTGCTATCTGCACTATGGCTTGGCAGCTGGGCCTGTGGCAGAATCAATTTCAAACCTTTGAATTGCTGAGAAGAGTAGAACCATGAATGCAGGTATTCACAGATTTGTCCCTGGGGTCAGCACTGTAAGGAGGGGCAGGGGTATCCCCCATATTGGATGGGAAATAAAATCCTTCGTTGTGCTACATCCCTACAGGCCAGCTCTCCTTGCTGGCAGGTGCTCTCCCTGCTTGCCCTCTTATTCCAGGCCTTAGTCTGCTCAAGGGTTGCTGTCTCATTGTCTTTTGCCAGAGAGCTGCCCATGCAAGGTTTCTGTGCACTTCATTGGAGAATGAAGAATATTAAGAATTAAAGCAAAATCCTATCCATAGTATTCATGGTGTGAATCCCTGGTGCATGCAGGATCATCCAGGATTAGTGCTAACAGACACTGATCCAGGCTCCCTTCTGTATGCTGGAAAGCACTCAGTGCAGGTGCTCAAGTGGCTTCATCATTTTACAAGTGAAGAAACTCAAGCACTGGGGGTAAAGTGACCAGGGTGAGGTGGCCAAGTGAAACAGCAGAGCCAAAGGAAACCCCAAATAGGAGTATCTGTTGACAAGGAACAGTGTGCCTCCTTTCAGAAAGCCTTGTAAAGGCTTTATTGAACCCTTGGCAGGTTACTTGCAAATAAAATTTAAGAGGTCTACAGAATATTTTGATGAATTAGCCGGTACAGACAGAACTTAAGCAAAACAGAGGGGTTGAAGCCACCTGTCAGGTCTAAGCACATGCCAGCATATGAACCAGATGTACCACAGCAGGTAATTCTGCTTTTCCTGAGAGCAGCACGTCTCAAATATCGTAGTTAGCAGGGAGCAGAACTCTACATCTGGCCTCTAGGAAATGGGCTGTCATGGCACTACATTTCACAGTACTTGTTACAGGAGAAATCAGTCTGGTCTGTCTTCTTCTGTGGGTTGTACCAGGTGTCACTTGAACAGGGTGGAAACTCTCTGTCTCTAGTCTGATATTTTGGCCAAAATTCAGAAGAGCATTAAAGCTCTTTAACAAGAGATAAAGAAGTGAAGGGAGGAGGCACTGTATGCACATCCAATTCCTTCTCTAGGTAAGGTGTGATTACTTGCTGTAGCATTCCTATTGCTGTCTGCATTCTAGTATAATATATCCCATATAGTTGACTTGTCAACACTCAACTTGTGTGTCTAGTCTACAACTTGCAGATCTCATTGTTAAGGAAGTTCTCCATATTTCAGCCTAAGAATCACTTTTATAAAGATCTGTCCTATTCCTACTTACACACCCTAATTCAATGCTTGCATTATGCTCCATTTTCTTTCTGACCTGATTTTTTTCCTTTTTATTATATATTTTCTTTTTAATTGCACGGTAGAAGAACATGGGGATCCTTCAGAACTACCAGTTCCCTTTTCCAAGGTTTTCTAAACACTGTAAACCTCCTGCAGGTTCATACTCTTCCATATCATTCCTAATGCAGCATCTTACAGCCACTGATTAACTAAGCCAGGAATCACATCCTCCCTCTGTTCCTTCAAGTTTTAAACGTAATGTTATGGAAGCAGAGCCCAGCAAGGTGTGTGAAAGCAGCAGAACATGTACAGTTAACTCATTGTTGGGGCCAGATTGATTTGGGATTGATATGAGTGCCATGCAAGCTGGTGCTTTTCAGTGGAAAGAACAGGGCTAGCTAGCAGTCAACTAATTGACTTTGCTACTGTTACAAAACATTACTTGCAGTATCTCTGCTATTCAGAAACCTCATAGTTATAATTACAGAGTCTGGAGGTCATCCAAAACCAATTTCTTCATTGCTGGTTTTTACATTTTTCAATAAAAGGAACGTTTGAACCTATCTATGGAGCAGGCACGCCTCTCTCTGCCAACCACTGTCAGCGATGAGTTCCCGCCCGGGAAGCCACTAGCATTTCACTTCTACTGGAACTAAAGTGTTAGAGAAAAAGCAGGTCATCTCTTCGTGATGTAACACAGGAAAAACGGGTTAGCTGCCAGCGAAACCCAGCTCAAGAATGGGAGAATCAGGAGGGTGCAGACACTTGGTCAAATCTTGACAAGGGGATGAATATAGAGCTCGGACCATAGGAACCTGATATAGTGAACCCTGTTTCTGAACAGTATCCTTCTTACTAAAAAAGGAAATGAATAAGGCATTAGTTGCTAATGCAAATTTTTCAGAGGCACAACAACATTACTCTGTGCAAAGAGCAATACAGCAGACTCTTTTGTATCTTTGAAAGAATATAAATCAGCCTTACATGGCAGCACAGTGTTGAACGGGAACATCCTTTCTTATGTCCCAGCACAGTATTTTTTTCATAGTCATTGCTGGTATTATACGACCACACCAATACTTGGTTGTGATAAAGCCCCACTTTCCCTCCTGCATTTTTCCATGATGCACAACACCCCTGCTGTGGCACTTATTTCATGGCCATCTTAACCACTGACAGTTACAGTCAGGGCAGAGCATTAGCAAAGACTGGTTCTTAAAGGATTCCCTGGCCCACAACAATTCTTACTGAGTTTAACACTCATGGCATGCTGGAGGAATTTCAGTACTTTCTAAGATGGGGTGGGATGAGGTGAAGCTGATACTCACAGGACGACTTCTACGTGGTCTAAAGCCCACTGATCATGACCTGTTCCATTGTGACGGGGCTGCCACCAGCGCAGTAAGACTCCCTTCATTCGTGCCTCCCTGTCATCACAAACACAAGAGCCTGTGAGAGCTCCAGACTATTGGTGTTTTGCATATCCCTATTTAACCCCCAACAGAACTGAGAGCAAAGTTAAAGCATTATTCTACACCACTGAATATCAACACACTGTACATGCAAAACAATGCTGAAAAATGCACAGAGATAAGGATTTTTTTTTTTTTTATCATATCTTTAAAACAAGCAACCTGTTTTTCTTTCAAGTATATTGATAAACATTAGGCTGGAATTCATTGATCAGCCTTCCCCTTAAGTTTTCTTCTTCGTTTACCCTCTCATCAAACTTTTTACTTGCACAGTGATGCAGAGATAGATTCTTAGTAGAAATATATCTTCTGCACTTAAAGGTAATGAAATGTGACTGGGTACTCACAGGGGAACATTATAAGACACTCTTTGGGCTTGTATAAAGTCCTTTGGCTGATGCTGTGCAATTACTTGCCATGTAATTCCATTATTTACACTGTACTGGAGGAGCACTGCCTTGTCTACAGTGTTGGGATCACTCAGATTGGTATTGCAACTGTCTGTTTGTGAAATGCTTCCAATTTGCAAAACAAACATGATTTTGCTGTAAAACACAGAGAGAAAAGATATTTTCAATACACAAAAACCCCCTTCAAACCGGAACAATAGCATTTCCAGGTTTATTGCAGTTACCTTATTAAAACTTTGAGCATCCTCAAGAATCATTACTTTTAACATGCAAAATAAACTGTTCTCAGCATTTCTAAAACACAGTTCCCCTTTCAAAGTAATAGTTTACTATGTATAACATTGCCATAAAATTGGAGGCAGTAGATCCAGTTTTACAATGTATCCGCACAAAACTGAGATGGATAAACAGTATAAACATGCAAATGAGTGTATAAAAAACAAAAAAAGGGGGGGGTTTAAATAAAGGTTGAATATAATAAAGTGCCAAAAAGGTATGTGGGTGTTCAAAAAAGAAAGGAAAAGCCTAATTTACATCTGTCCTGTTTGCCAGTTCATCTTGTTTCTAATCTTCCTTTAGGCAGCTAAAAACAAACCAGTCCAGAAAGCTGTCACTCTGTTAAGAGCCAGCACAGACTGGTTGCATTTGGTTTTCCATAGCCAAAGAGGCTCAACAGATGAAAAAGTTACTCCTGTTTATTGTCAGGTGAGTGTAATTCTATTTGACAACTGAAACAGGAAAATAAGTCTGTGATTACTAATGGCATCTTTAGTCATAACTGTCGTGGAGGCACATGCAAACATGGGATTTGTCTTATCAGATCAGGCACTGGTCCAGACAGTCTGGTGTCCAGTCTTTGCCAATAGATTCATTGTCAGTGCTGGCTTACTAGAGAGTGCTCTGTTGGGCATGACGAAAACATCTGACCTTTTCATCTGACATCGCTTCCTTCTGACTCTCCATCTCTCAAATGAAAGACACAAAGCATTATGCCAGCCCTAATGTTTATCTGCCAGCCACATCTGACTGCATGGTTCAGCTGGGTCAGTCCATCCTCATCAGTACTGGCCTACATGGCTGCACAAATATATGAAGAGTTTCCTTTCTCATGAGCTGCTAAAAGAGCTTTTTAGGCTCAAAGTATTACCTTGCTCGGGTGAGATCCAGAGGCTTAGTCACTGCTTGTCGTATTTGACATCCATTAAAATAGAGTGAATCTCCATGGGCATAGGGTGCCAGCTGTCCGCATCCATTCCCTATCACTCCCCCCTGAATAGTTTCCCAGTTTATTTCAGTGACTCTTTCAGATTCAAAATTATCTTTAATATAACTGGGGAGGTCATGGCTAAAGCCAGAGCAGTCATCACCTAGAAATGACAGAGTGAAGTTATAAACCACACAAAATTCAAAAGAATTGATAAAATTGAGTTACAGTTCATTGTGATTCCATTCAAGGTTGAGGCCCAATATACAGTGTGACTACAGGCTGAGTATACCAGCAGATCTATTAATAATGTGCATATTGCTGTACAGCATTCATTTTTAGAAGACTGAGGCTGTGAGTCTTAATTTTTACAGTAATATAACTTCAAGAACTGCAATATCATTTCTCCTATTTTGCATTGATGCCTATATGAGAAACCTCAAATTGCCAGTTGAAGGGAAATATATCTAAACCAGGAAGGCATCCGATCTTATAAAGTTGAGACTCTCTTGGAAGACAATAAACACTGGCTGCACTCCCACAAAGTGCTTAGAATTTAACAAGGGTGCTCAAGTACCATTAGACATGTGCTTAGCTGCACTGAGGGATTAGAGCAAATGCTCTGACATAGCATTCTATGATACAGAACTGAGTCCATTACAGGTGCCAGTTGCCAACATCTTGTTTCCATGTACACATCCCATGGGAGTGGGTGCATCGTTCGAGTAAAAGGGTGGAAGCCATTTTTGGGTGGGCAGGTAGCCAAATTCTGCCTTCACTGAAGGCTAAATGGGCTTTACATACAATGCAGACAGGAGAGACTACTGACTCAAACCAGAAAGGGAAGGAGGAATAGTTAATTGCAGCTCTGACAGATTTTTAATTTAGAATTTGTTACTCAAGCAATCCAGTGATAAATTTAGACATATCACTTTTTGTGTTTAATTTTGACCTAGATGAGACTGTAGCAGATGTATAAGAACGAAATTGAAGAAATGAAACCTTGATATCCTTCATCACAAATGCAAATGGATCCAGTTGTGCAATATCCATGGCCACTGCAGAGCTTAGGGCACGCTTCCCCAATATACACGTGGTCAATCGCCCAGCTTTGTTTCTCTAGTTCTTCTCCCTTCTGAATCCACCTGAACTGAGTTGCACTGTAAATACCAAAATCCAAACACTGTATTACGATATCTAGCAATTAAGCACATCTGTTCAGTGATGTTCAAATACACTAGCAGCAGATGAAATGAAAAATGTCTTGTGAAAGGGCTGTGATTTCAGTAACTGGAAAGACCCACCCTGAATGGGTAGCTGCTATGTCACTGGCAGTAGCCAGTTCTGTTAATAAAAAGCTTTCTGAAAAACATGAATTATGTATCAGGTTTAAATCCACCAATAAAGAAACATTTTTTAATTCACCAGTTGTTCCAAGTGAACAGTGCCAGCAAGACAGCTGGCACTTTGTAAGTCCACAGAAAGCTGACCTTTCAGTAACCTACCTGGATGAGACATGATCAGGCAGCTGGATAGTTATTCTTCTCCACATGGAGCTGTTGACAGAGTTATAGATGGTAGCTTCGTGGAATTGAAATGGGGAGCAGCCAATACTATTAGATGAGGAAGGAAGACAGTGTGTCTGGACGAGCTGCCATGAGTCTGTCCTGTAGGAAACAAACAAAAAAATGACTTAGAACAACTGAAAGAATATTGAAAGGGAAGCAGGTCATGGCATTGCCTGTCTTATTAAACAAACCCAAGAGATTGTCAGTAATAGTTTCCATGCTCGTTCCGTAGAACAACTAGACAAGAAGTGAGAAGCTGAAGCACTGCTGCAACCAGGGAGGTCTTTCAAGCATTAGGTTTTCATGCTGTGAAGCCCTTGATGGTGGTACACACAGCAGAGTCCCAAAGCTCATCTGGTTTGGCATGACAGAAGGAACTATTGAGGAGTCTCTTCCTTAGTCTCTCTCTTACAGTATTCAAAAGAGTCCCAACAGAATTTGCTTCATGTTCTCCTACAGTCATTTCAGCACAGAATATGCCTTCGCTTTTATAAATTATAATGCATTATTATACAGCCACACAGGATACAGTGTTATTAATTGTTCACTAGCTGAAAAACAATTCAGAGTTAAGTAAGTCCCACTTGGTCCTGTATCATACTAAGCCAACAGTTTCCTGTGACTGTGGTTTTCTGCAAGCACATGTTTAACAGGAATATGCTCATTACTGCAACTGCAAACTCAATGCCATGAATCTGTCAACATCTGGGATAAATTACAAAGAACATTTATGGGAGTTATGTAGACAAATCCCAGTGCTTGCACACAGGCTTTGTTCAGATCCTGCTACAAGATGAATAGCCAAGTTATTGCTTTAATAAACAAAAGCACTCTAGGTTTTTTAATATAATTTTGTTTTTTTTAGGCCTACATATTCTGCTGTCATTACCTGGCATCCTTTGTATACTCCAGCATCACAGAGTGCAGGTCCCCACAAGAAGTTGCCTCACAGCCAACCACGATCTATAGCACAAATAATATTGGCTGCTATAACAATTCAGGTAGACATTAATGTGATATATAATGAAGTCTTGCTCTTCTTTTTTTTCTTTATGGGGTATGTAAAACAGATAGCCAACTTAGATCTTGGACAAAATCCATCAAAAGTGGATGTAAAACAAAAGATGCAGCACTTCAGATATGAATTAATGGATTTCACTTTATTGCTACTGTTATTGTCAAATAATAGAATCCTAACACTGCATTCCTAAAGTTCGAATTAGATATCTAAATAAACTGTTCTGAAACACAAAGATGCGGTAGCTCCTTGGCATTTCAGGAAGTTAAGTACTTAACTACAAGTTAATTATGTATGACATTTATAACGTATAATGATAAACATATGGTTATAAACCTCAAGTCAATCCAATTTGAGAACAGGATTATTCTGACTATTTAAAACAATAGACATATTTGTGTTATATTAGAGTGGAAAGGTTACAGTACCCAATGTACAGAACTGAATAGATACCAAAAAGCTAAATTTTAAGAGCTTCAACACCAAATGGCAGACATGCACTAAAGCTGAGTTCTTAGTTTAGAAATAAAATCTTTGCTGTAACTGGTGAAGGAAAAGGAGAGAGTCAGGAGAGAGAAACTTTGCAATGAGAGTTTAGTAATGTGAACTATTAAATGGTGGTTGGTTATAGAATCATAGAATAGTTAGGGTTGGAAAGGACCTTAAGATCATTTAGTCCCAACCCCCCTGCCACGGGCAGGGACACCTCACACTAAACCATGTCACCCAAGGCTCTGTCCAACCTGGCCTTGAACATCATAGTTTTGGCCTTAAAACAGGGGAAGAAGATGACAGGCTGGGTAAAATAAGAAGCTTGGGGTGGGTCTTGGTTTCAGCAGTAAAAAGCATGCCATACTCCTCTTTTATAATTTCCTTGAAGGTGGCATGCTCTGTGAGTGGGGGAAGCGGTGCTTTAGGAATTACATTAAGCAGTCAATGTAAAATAAGCAACAATGTTGTGAAAAGATGAAAATATTGATTAGTGGAAGATGGAAAATTCTGGAACTGTCTTGTGAAACAGAAGAGCAAGAAAAAAACCATAACAAGAAAATGGGTGACTATTTTGGTAACCCTGCTTTCATAATAGTTCCTGGCTTATTTAAGATGTGGTGCCTGGGGAAGGGCCTAGAGCATTCCTGGACAATAACTGTGAGTTGCCTTTGGACCTGTGCAGAATTCTATCCTAAACCAAAGTAAAATATTTAGAAGTGTTTCTCTGATTATTTAGGTGATTTGCCATGACACAAGTAGTTAGAAGGGGTATTCCTGCTTGAGCACTTCTGCATTTTCCGTAAGCCAGTCTTCTCCAGCCTGCCTCTACTTTGCCTTTTCTGCTTATTCATGAGTTAGGGGAAAACAGCATGTTCTGCATGCTGTGTATTCTGACCTTAAAAAATAATGCCTATTCTATCTGATGATCCAGTAATTTAAGGAAAAAGGGATTAGACTTCCAATTCCTCTCAGTAACCCCAAAGCATGCAGTCAGAATAATTTGATATTTAACATTATGCAACCTTTCTGGTTCCCATTACCTGCATTTTAGAATTTCTTTTAAATGCTAATAAAATGCCATTATTAATTATTCATCAAATTGGGCATCCTAGTTGGAAGAAGAATAATTTCTGGAGACACATTTGGTGATTTTTCACTGCATACTTTACTTTGGAAAGAGAGAGAGAACATTTCTTACTTTAAACTGCATCATGTATCCTGGCTGTATAATGAGCTCCCTGGAGGACAGGATGTTGTGTGTTTTGTCTTTTTTCTTATTTGGCCAGTAGAGATGGAATGATGGATTTCCACAGAACCCTGCAGTCCTGACTGCATTGGGGTAAAAACTCCAGTTTTCTTCATGAGAGGTGCCTTCTATTAAGATGAGTTAAATACAATTAATGCATTATATTGATAAATATCAAGGCTTGGTAATGATTCCACAGAATGATTAGATACAGTACTTTAGTGACATGAACACTAAATTTATGCTACCTGTCATGACAAACACAGTAAGTAAGCTACTAACAGACAGTGAAAACCTCAGCTCCAGAGAGGTAATTAAAATGTTTAAATAATAGTACTTTAAAAAAAAATGATTAAAAAAACCTTTACTACCATGAATTTAAATGAAATTAGTTGGACTGAAATAAAAAAAAATTGCCTTTTTTATAGTTATATACATATATATACACACACTTACATATCTGAATATACATGTATATGTATTTACACACCCCTATCAGTAGCATGAAGAATAGCATAATTAACAGCATTAGTCTACAAAATGAAAACATCTGCTTGCAAGCTCACAGGTTTTCTCTTAGATAAGATAATGCCAGACAACAGATTAGCTGCCACAGCCTTTCTTACCATCATCAAACGTATCTACCAGCTGGCTGGGGTTGATCTCTGCTCCTCCGATCAGGATGTTATCCAGCGCCCACTGCGCCCGGTCCGGGCCTGAAACCACAATTCCATTGCTGATGGTGAAAGGCTGCCACCAACGCAAGCGGGTTGTATTGGTCAGAGCGTGTTCAGGGAGGAGGATGTAGTCATGCCTGACCGAGATGTATTTTTGGTAATCCATCTCATGAAGCAAAGTCCAGGTTATCCCTAGAATGAAAAGATGCAGGTTTAGTAATAAAAACAAGTGTATGGTACAATCATCTAAAAGATTAAAGATAATAAGAAGTAATAATAAAAAATAATAGCTATGGCCTTCTGATGGACAAGTCTTAACTTCTAAAGGTAGCTGGCAACTGTACTCGTTTCAAGAGCAATTTTGTAATCACATAGAATAACTGAATTGTCCGGAAGCTACTGACTACTGAAATCAGGCAAGAGGATTATGGAAAACTGAGCAACAGATGGAAATTTTAGATGGTGAAAAAATTTGTAAGGACAAAAATAACTTTACAGTTAAAAATGATCTTATTTTGGATATCTCCAACAATTTCTCAGGTATTCATGATGATTGAATAGAGAACAAGGCTTTAGCTTAGCTGAAATTACAGGATGTACTTGCCTCCATCAGTGGAATAGTCTAGCAGTACTCCCTCCTTTCTGCAAGTTGGTCTGTGGCATGTTGTCATGTTGTTTTCACTCCCAATTCTCCCCCAGTATTGTAGAAATCTAAGAGTAAATGTGTAAGTTTACATCTGTTAAAGATCTGCACAAATCAGTAAGTTTGGTTTCTATTAGCAGACGTGCTGAAAATGTTCAAAATGGCAGCATTTTTAAGGATGTAAAATCAATGTACCAGTAGAACACAGGTTTCCAAAAACATTGCCTGGTAATTCTCATGGGAACCTCATGAAATCTGGCAACGTCCTGCCCCTGGGAAAGATAACTCCTTGCAGTGGTACTGGCTGGGGACTGACTGCCTGGGAGCTTCTTTGCTAACAGCTGCCTAGGAGTCCTCATGGAGAGGAAGCTCAGCATGAGCTAACAAGGTGCCCTTACACAAATGAAGTACGTAAGCTGATAAACTGAGGCAAAGTCAATGGAAGCCACTGAAATGGTTGGGGCTAGAGCACATGGCCTGTGAGGAGAGGCTGCAGGACCATGGCTGATTCAGCCTGGAGAAGATGGCTGGGTATGGGAGACTGTGGGCTTCCTCACCAGGCATAATGGAGAAGGGAGGAAATCACTGTGAGGGTAATTCAACACTGAATCAAGTTGTCCAGAGAGACCAAGGAATCTCTGTCCTTGGAGGTTTTTCAAGACCCAACAGGACAAAGCCCTGAACAACCTCATCTGAATTCAGTGTTGACCTGTCTTTGAGCATGAGGTTGGACTAGAGACTCCTGGAGGCTCCTTCCTTCCTGAAAGCTTTTATGATTCAGCTAGTTCTTACTGAATTACAGAGGTGAGAGCATGTGGCTTCATTAAACCCATACAGTCAAGGGGAATGATGCTGAAGTTGCCTCTAGTCATCATCATGTCCTTAGCTTGTCTAAACTGGCATAATTCCATTGCTTTCCTACTCATCCTTTTCTACAGCATGTGAGTGAAGTAGGTCTTGTTTGGGCACCCAAGAGAGCACAACCAGCAGAGGTTATGTTCTGAACTCAGTGAGAGAAACAGCTGATGCCTCCAGGAGTGGAGACAGTGATGCCCAGGAGACTGTGGTGTCTCAATGACTTCAGGACATCCCAGGGGAAGGGAATCTGCTGCTTTACCTGCACAGAACAGGCTGTTCTCATTCTTGTAGGGTGAGCCTTGCTTTCTGTGACTCATCTGAAAGCATCAGTGCTTTGAGAATCATAACTCATCAGTGTCTACCTGAAACAGCACTGTGCTTGTGATGGCCTAGGAGTTCCCTGAGCTATAAGCTATGTTACCTGCTGTTTTGTCAGTGTTTAACAGAGTTCCCCATTTAAATGACATAGAAACATGACCTACTTTGCCCCCCGCAGGTCCAGATCCTGAGTGACAGCTTGCCTCACAGTTGCACCTCCAAAATACAGAGTTGTATCTTCTGCGAGAATCCCACACTCGGTACAGGTATTTCCACCTTCTAAGGACATCCATAAATCTGGTTTAATTTCTTCATTGTCAAAGCGCTCTTTCAGGAAAGTCTGTAAGTAAAGTGTTTAACATAAAGCACGGGTAATTATGATCTGAAGCCTTTGTGATGATCACAGCTGGCACTGAGCTAAACATGGTTGAAGGCTCATGAACACTGTAAGAATTTTTTTTCAGGGTGGCTGAACATAGTCACTTTTGGCTGGATATTTGGCCACTTGAACTGAATTGGCTAAATGTGAATATACATTACGGCTGGGTTCTAACATACTTGGGAGTAATCCAGCACACTAAAATCTGCATGTGCAAATGAATGAGTGTATTGGGTTTGTGTGGCAATGTTTTGGTAGCAGTGGGCCTACTGGGGTGGCTTCTGTGAGGAGCTGCTAGAAGCTTTCCCCTTGTCTGATGGAGCCCATGCCAGAAGGCTTCAAGATGGACCTGCTGCTGGCCAAGGCTGAG